CCTCTTGATGGAGGTAAAACCCTACGTCCTGCTTGATTTATTCTTGATAATATGAGTAGTACAAGAGTTGATCTACCACGAGATCGGAGAGGCTAAACCCTAGAAGCTAGCCTATGGTATGATTGTATGTTGTCCTACGGACTAAAACCCTCCGGTTTATATAGACACCGGAGGGGGCTAGGGTTACACAAGGTCGGTTACAAAGGAGGAGATATACATATCCGTATTGCCTAGCTTGCCTTCCACGCCAAGTAGAGTCCCATCCGGACACGGGGCGAAGTCTTCAATCTTGTATCTTCATGGTCTAACAGTCCGGCCAAAGGATATAATCCGGATGTTCGGATACCCCTAATCCAGGACTCCCTCACTCCTCATACCATGAGGCGTCGACCCAGATCTCGTGGCTGATGTCGGGCTAGGAGTGAAGGGAGACACCTTTTACTCCTCCTACTATGGTGGGTGGTGTCTCGAACATTGATGCCAGGGAGGCATCCCTAGATGGCGGTCCGCATGGTTGGCTCTCCGATAGGCACTATGAAGCCGGTGGTGTCTTTCTCTCTTGGTCGTGTGGGCGGCAAGAGGGTGAACGGCGGATGGCTCAAGAGTGCTCTCGGTCGCATGCAGTGGAGACAGCCCAATCCAGAACTGGAGTTCTGAACTCGTCGCACTTGTTCTGGAGGCCTTGTGGTGGCATGGAGTTGCCGAGCGAAAGCTCCGCACTTTGTCGTTGACGACGGCGCCGCTCACGGGCGCCGCTATCTTCTTGAGGAAGTTGTCGTGGTGCTCCTCTCCGTGTCTGGGTTTCGGTGAAAATCTTTGTTCGATTGTAGACTCGACGTCGATGACACTTAGCGTCGTTCTCCCTCCTAGGGACGTTGTCATGGAGCTTAGGTGCTATAGGACGTAGTGTGAGGTTGTACTCCATTCTTCTTGTGCTCTTTTTCTGTAGCGTAGTTGCGTGCGTCCTGCGTGATTTGATTATCATAGGATTAACATTTATGAGGGCTAACTCATCACCTTATATCGTTCTTTCGTGTACTTTGTTCGGTTGTTGCTTTATATATAAAGTGAAGCGAAAGACTGTTTCAAAATTGACTTTGAATTTCCATGCATCCCCATCACTCTAATGAACCGAACCTTCTCAGCTTCTAGTCTATAGCTTCAAGGTGGCAGACTGAAAGGACATGAATGCTCATTTTATCCGTATATATATAGTAATGCCAATATATGGCGATCATCCGATGTAGGCACATATGCAACAAAAGGCGACGTCATCAATGACGAACAGAACCAGACTTTACGTCCCGGACGTATGTGCTAACATCGCCTGAGGAGATCGGTTCAACATAGAAACCAACTCATAGTTACTGCATGTATTAATCAAAGTATACTCCTACTACCTTTTCCATGCTAAATATAATAGTACTACTCGTGTTAAAGATAAAGTAAAATGTGGAGTACTTCTGTACGCTCGAAACATCAATTGTTGCATGTAAAACACTTCAATATAACTTTTCGAGTGAAATAGTTAGCTAACTAAGTTGCAATATCATTATTGGAGGGTAAGCTTAATTAAGCCTGTTAAAGCCTCCCTAGTAAAATCACCACTGGCCACTGCTTCCTGTCCAAGGAAAAAAATGAGTGGTGCACAGCCCCGTGTTTATGGCTGCCTTGCCTGACCTATCTCTCAAGAAAAAGAAAGGTGGTTAACAAATGACATGCTTGTGTATAGGGCTGGAAAAAAAGCTCGAAGCTCGCGAGCTAAACGAATAGCTCGTGATCCGGCTCGAGTCGACTCGAACTCGAAGAATAACGAGTCGAGCCGAGCTTTACTTTAAGATCGTTTATAGACCAAGTTAAACGAGCCAATCTCAAAAGTACTCGTATAACTCGTTAGGCTCGGTACAAAAGATCACCCACTCCCAATACAAAAAAAGATCAGCCACTCATCACCCTATGTCCTAAGCGCACAACGTAAGGCCTAACTTTTGAAGGCCCAGCCGCCCAAGAGACTCATGCGTTACAAGGAAATTACTATTGTTTAGTAATATATATGTTTAATATACACATAATTATTTTTATAATATTCGAGAATTTTATGTTCATATTTTTAACGAGCTTAACAAGCTTAACGAGCCAGCTCGCGAGTTATACGAATCGAGCCAATCTTGGATTTGAGCTTGTTATAATAACGAGTCGAATCGAGCTAGCTCGTTAACGAAACGAGCTGGCTCGACTCGGCTCGAATTCCAGCCCTACTTGTGTATTAGAAGCAGTCATTTTTTTAAGGAATTTACCATTCACCCAGGTGTAGGGTGCATTTGCACCCAGGAGCAGAATCACACTTTCACTAAACTATCTAAAGTTATGCATCAAACTAGATTATTTTGGAGAGTCCCTCCACATTATGATAAAGTAAGTATAGATGACCTTCATCCTATAACAGACAAGACCTTGAAAGTATATTTCTGGTTGGAGAGGGAAAATTGAATTACCAAGGAAGAAGAGCTGTTCTCATGGAAGCGCGAACAGCCCGCATTCCTATTTATCTTATCTCTTTCTTCCAATTCTCTAAGTGGGCCTTGGACCTTGGACCTGATTAATACATAAATGACCCATTGCTTGTGGAATGATTTTTTTTTGGCGGGTGATTTGTGGAATGATTTTGAGGGGCATACGAAATGTCATCTTTTTTAGGGATGTCTCTAGATTTTATTCAATCAAAACATGATTCAGCATCTTAGGGTAGATTATGTGCTTTGCAATTCATAAAAGTATATATGTATTTTGAAAAAAAAGTAAAAGGGAAAAAGAATAAAAGTACAGAAAAAACAAAAAAGTAAATAAACGTAATACATACAGGAAAAAACAGAAACCCAATAAATACAAAACATGAAAAAGGAAACCGAAAAAATAAACATGAACCTTCCATACGGTTCTGAAAAGGCCAATGCTAGGTGCCGGCGCGCCGGCCCAACTTTCGGTCGGCCGGCCCCTAGCCGTTCGATATGGCCTCTCCTAGTCGTCCGATGTGGACCTCTCCACCCTCGACTGTCTTCTTCCTCTGGTCAACGCAGCGCTTTATCCTCCCGCAACCAATCTTCTTCCCGTGTGCGCTCCCTGCTCCCTGACGCTGCTCGCAACACCCCCACCCCCTTGCCAAAAAACTGGCTGGCCCCCTTCCCCGCGGCCTCGCTTTGAACCAATTCCTCGCCATGGTCGCAACCCCTCGCCGTCACGGTTGCAGCACCCGTATCTCGCCACTGGCAAGTCTCGCCTCGCACGCCACCGAGCTCATGGCGCCCATGGCAGCTGGTTCCAACATCTGGTGTTGCCGGTTCTACCATCTCCGGGAGGCGGTTCCAGCTTTCGACGCCTCGGCCATAGCTTCATTTAGGGCCGCATGTAGCAAAACGCGACACCTGTTGTAGCTTTTTGCTATACGGTTGCAGCAAAAATGCAACGCCGCCCGTCGTCACCCAAGAACTGCTCCGTCGATGTAGCAAAGCAATCCATCGGTTCCACCTTTTGCCACTGCTGGTTCCAGCAAAAACAATCTATAGTTCCAACATCTGCCTCGTCGGTTGTAGCAACCACCGCGGCCCATCCCAGCACCCATGGCCGGTTCCAGCAAAATAATGTCGCCGTTTCCAGCATCTCCTGGTGCCTGATGTAGCACCATGGCGTCTGGACGCATCTTCTCCAGCACCGATGGGCCGTCCCCGTGTCGGCGGTCGAGGTCGTTGCAGCTCCGGCCATGTCGCCGGTCGAGGTCGTTGCAGCTCCACAGTGTCGCCGGTTGGGGCCATTCCAGCTCCGACAACCCACGGTTGTAGCATCCGCCACCGTCATTACAGCATCCCGTCAACGCCGGTCTCCAGCACCCGCAGCACCGTGGCCTGTCGATGGGTGCCGTCGTTGCCACGGCTTGGATTTTTTTACCTCAAAAAGACCTCTTTATTCAATAGATAATAATGTTACATCGTTCACCATGAGAGGTACAATAGAGGGGGGAGGATCATCCAACCAGACCCTACTGACCTGGAACTTAGCTAACTGGGCTAGCAACCTACCCTGTTGTCGAACCACCTTGGCGCACCTTTGTACCCGGCTATCGCCACACCTAGGAGACATTTTGTTGTGTTCATATTGTTAAACCATTAGAATGATGTAAATTGTTAGATAAATATTAAAAATATACATAACTAGAGCAATATATTAAATTTATTTAAAAAATGGCATGACCTTCACTAACAGTGAATCAAATGGGTGCCAGAAAAATGACGAATCAACATTTCGCCAAAACATTGACGCTCGTGTATATTTTCCTGAAAAAAGGAACCACACAGTGCAATACACATATCACATTTTTTCCTTGGCTTTATGGTTGTTACCACATGCATGGCATACACATATAATCATTCATACATACATGAAGAAATTGAAAACAATGTGGAGTCTTTTCATAGGATGATGTGACTCCTATCCATGCTTCAAAATTTGTGCTACGAATCGGACGACAACCAACGCGTTCGCGCTCATAGTGTTTGTTTAAATTATGGACCCGATAAATCACAAACGTTCGGATTTTAAGCATGTCATCATGAATGTTTTTTTCATGACAACTTTAGTTGACGCGAGGTGGCAACTTTGTCTCAGTTTGCTTTTTGTCATAAAACTGTCATGTTTGCCTACCTCCCGTGAACTAAAGTTGCCATGAAAAACGTTTGGGTTGCCATGCTTAAAATCTAAACGTTCAGGATTTATCATTTCCGTAAATTATTGGGTGGCAAAAAAAACCCCACCAAAACAGACTATTATGGAGTATAATTTTTAAACTCTCGTCGAAATAAAGTACACGGTGACGATGGATGGTAAATGACATGCATCGCTAGCCACAGTTTGAAGTTCAAGAAATTTTGAAGTTTGAGTTTGCACGATGTCATTGTCATCGCTCCGTCAGACATGGCACATCACATTATTGGCGTTCTAGGGAGTAGCTAGCTCGTTGATCCTCGGACGAGGTCGACGAACCGTGCGAGATTCCGGCGCGACGACGACCCGCCGTCTGCGACGGCGCCGCGAGCAACGTCCCTCAGCGCGAGCGCCCTGGCCTTGATCTCCGCGTCGCCCAGCAGCTCCTCCACCTTGCCCCGTATCGCCTCTCTTCCCACGAGCGTCCCCGTCGTCTCGCCGGCGGCCACCTGCAGCCCCGTCCGCCACACGTCGCAGATGTAGCCCCGGTCGAGGAACTGGTCCGTGAAGTAGGGCCAGCACAGGAACGGCAGGCCGTTGACCAGCCCTTCCAGCGTCGAGTTCCACCCGCAGTGCGACAGGAAGCACGCCGTGGACGCGTGCGCCAGCACCAGCTGCTGCGGGCACCAGCCCACCACGCGGCCGCGCGGCCCGGCGCGGCGGCGGAGGTCCTCGACCCACTCCTCGCTCGCCGAGTCCGGCCTCACCACCCACAGGAAGGGCCGGGAGGTCAGCGCCAGCGCCTCCGCCAGCTCCACGAGCTGCGCCCGGTCGAAGATGGCGAAGCTGCCGAACGCCACGTACACGACGGAGCCGGCCGGCTGCGCGTCGAGCCACGCCGCGCAGGTGGCGTCCTCGGCCCAGAAGCTGGCGACCGGCTTGTCGGAGAGGAGCGGGCCCACGGTGAGGACGTCGGGGAAGAGCGCCATGGCTCCCGGCTCGAGCTCTTGGACGGAGTTGGTGACGACCGCCTCGGCGAGGCGGGTGGCCGCGTTGTTCCGGAGGATGAAGTCCAATATGAACGGCTGGCCCTCGGGGCCGCCGGCGCGGTTCCACGAGAGCTCCGTGGTGTCCATGGGCGGCATCCCCGGAGCCAGCCGAAACGTGCCGCGCTGCTTCGGCAGGCCTTTCTCGTCCACCACCCCGTCCCTTATCAGCTCGGGGATGCGGATCCTCGTGGCGAACATGGCCACCGACAGCGGGTTGAAGGCGGCGACCCGGAGGCCGAGCCTCTTGGCCACGGGAAACACCCACGCCATGCTCGCGTCGGCGATGATCCACGTCAGCTTGCAGTTGCATGCACCGGCCGATTCGGACAGCCTTGCGATCAGCTTCTCCAGCTCGCCGGGCATGACCTCCGAGAAGGACTCGGCGAGCCGCGCGAGGTCCTTCCTGTCCTCGCCGTCGGCCAGCCCGTCCGGTATGCAGACCATGTCGACCCCTCCGAGGCTGGTAATTCCGTCTTGAGAGTCGGGCTTGGAGACGTGGAGGGAGGCAAGGATGAGGTGGTGGTTGTGCTGGGTGTTGACGAAGGTGACCTTGATGCCGTGCTCCACAAGGCTGTGGGACAGCTCCATGAGAGGGATGACATGGCCTTGCGCGGGGAAGGGCAAGGCCAGCACATGGGGCGCGGGTGCGGCCATGGCGGGCGCTCGAAATTAAACTGGATGTGGAGAAGAGTGGTGACTAATTGGGAAGGGTTGTCGATCAGCTGCTTGCTTTGTGCACAATACTTGTACAATTACTGGGAACCCTGTCTTCATCTGGACATGTTTGACGAATAGTCTGATGCGTGAACTCGATCGGCATCTTTGGATTATGGACGTTTGTGGGTCAGCCACGCTATGCAGGCGGCATCTTTGGAAAGGCTTAACGTAAGTACGAACCGCGGCGAGGTTGTATGTGTATGGATTAGCGCCTAGGGGGAGACAACTGCAGACAGTGAGATGTTTGATCCACTTGTTTGTTTGTTTGTTTGACAAGAAAGAGAGCATCATCTCCAATTTTATTTAACTGATTAATTGAAACCACAGTCTTAGAGCATCTGCAATAAATGATGTAGATGCAAAACTATTTAACTTTTGCATCTTGGAGGCTCAAAAACCATCTTCAATAGATGATGTAGATGCAAAAAAGTTACATCTCTTAACCTGAAAGATGTAGAATACAACATCTGCATCTCCACCTGCAGGAGATGTAAAATCGACGGCCGCCCGCCAACCACCCAACTACCTCCATTTTCCTTCCCCTCCTTCTCTTCCCGCCCACCGCACAGCCGCTGCCGCCCTGATTCGCCCACAACACCGCCGCCGTCCCCCGCCTGCGCCAGATCCGATCGTGCGCCACCCCCGCCGCCCCTCCGTCGCTCCTCCGCCACCGCTTCACCTCAAATCGCCGCTGCACCGCTGCTGCTTCACCGCCCTGATTCGCCATCCCCGCCACCTCGACGCCGCCGCCCTGAATTGCACCGCACTGTCACTGTCCACATTGCTGCCATCCCTATTCGCCCGCCGCCCAGCCGCCACCACCTCGTTGCCGTGATTCGCCGAAGAAGTTCCCGAAGGGCAAGACGGGGTTCTTCGGCGTGCAGGCGAAGCCATCCGGCACTGTCACACGTTAAAACACAACGGGAGAAATCATTTTGTTCTGGACAAAATTGACTAAATATTGCAACAAATTTTGAAATCAAATATACATTATACATGCACACCCAGACAACCAGAAGGCGAGAAATCATACATGCATACTTGTCTTTGGAAGTAATTAAGGGGCACTTCTATGGGAAACCATGGCTTTTACTAAGATAGATTCGATTAGAGAGGAAAGCTGTGCTGAACCACTACAAGGGGCAGCTAGCTAGGGTTTAAACAACTACAAGGAGAGATGCCCACTTCTGCTCCAAAACCATGGCTTTTTACAACCTCATAAAAGTGGAGGTAATAGTAAAGCTAAAGTGCAGCAAAGCTGTTGTCGGAAAGTTAACAGTGAGGTCTTGTACAATGGAGGTGCTTAGAGGAGGTGCTTAGAGAAATAAATCAGACTTTTTTTAAGCACCGGTGCTTATTTGTACAGGGTAGACGCTTAACTAAGCGTCTCTTCTGTAGAAATAGGCACCAGTGCTTCAGAAAATCTCGATTTATTTTTCTAAGCATCCCTCTAAGCATCTCCCATTGTACAAGGCCTGAATGCTTAGAAAACCGAAAGCTGTCGGATGCAGGATCGCAAATTGCAGTAACATCGTCCAGGGGCGCGAAACAGTAAGCTCTACTAAGCGTTATAACAAAACGAGCTACTATGTCGAAAGAAAGAAAGAGGGATGGCTCCCCCTCTTTCTCAACAGCCAGTGCTCATCCGGGGGATAGCTATGGTAGCTTTTGAGTTTTCGCTTTTCTTTGCTGTAAGACTTGATGATTTCTTTTAATGAAAATCGGAAAGAGAGCTCTCTTTTATCAAAAAAATGTCGAAAGAAAAAAGAGGTAGTACTGCTTTCACACAGAAGAGTTGATTATTGATTTCTTCAGGTTTCAGGTTCGGATGCTGACAAAACCCGGTACTTCTTGATGGTGGCTTGCTAATCAAGTCTGTAGTGACATCCACCTCCTCATAAAGCAGGCATTGCATGATCTAGAATTAAAGCGTTAGTAGTTGATTGAATAGAACCTTAAAGATTACACACAGAGATATTTCGACAAAGTCACACAGAGATAATATTGTCTTTATTTGATATATATAGCAAAATGCTCATGACAATAATGATTACTTCTTTACAAGTAGCTGATGCATGCGTTAATTTCATCGTGATTGATTTTATTTTGTTTCTACTAGTTTGCAGTAATTACTAGTATGTAATATACTCCTGTTGGCGTATTGATCAGAGTTCGTCATGGACAGACTGAGGGTTGGGCGAGGTCTTGACCGGGTAGGAAGCGCCCATGGCGATCCCGCATAGGCCCTTCTTATCCTTGACGTCGCGCTCCATGCGGATGTATCCCATCTCGCCCCACTCCTCACCCCACGAGTTCTTCACGACCCAGTACTTGGTGCCGTCTACGGTGGCGCCATACCCCACCACCGCAACGCCATGGTCCAGCTCGGTCCCGCACTCCCCGGCGAACACCCCCTCCGAATGAAACTGAAACCTGCCCGCGTCGACGGCCACGGACACCGGCTGTGCGGCCACAGCCTTCCTTAGCGCCTTCTCGTTGTTGGCCGGCACGTCCTCGTACCCGTCGATGGTGACCACGCGGGGCGCCCCGGTGTTGCAGGAGGAGGCCTGCTGGGCCGTGTACGGGTAGGCGTCCTCGGTGGCCGCCCCGCCGTTGTCGGCGATGTACCGGAATGCCTTGTCCATGAGGCCGCCGTGGCAGCCGGAGTTGCCGTCGGCGTTGTCGCAGTCCACCAGCTCCTGCTCCGACAGCGACGTCAGGTTCTTGGTCCGGATCGCGTTGATGCCCTCCACGGCTGCGATCGTCGAGAAGGCCCAGCAGCTGCCGCACTGCCCCTGGTCCTTGACGGCAGTCACCGCGCCCTTCTGCCGCCAGTCGACAGAAGACGGGAGCCGTGCATGAAACCCCCACCACCTGCCTTAGCCTTTGGGCTGAACATGCGGTGGTGCGCGATGCGGGAGGAGGCGTAGGTGCGGCGGAAGATGCATGCACTTCAGGAGCTTCATCTTCATGACGGTGCATATATGCTTGCTACTTCATCTTCATGGGCAGTGCGCGTCCCCCCAACTCCAAAGTTCGTGTGCCCCAGGCCCCAAAAATACATGCGTTCCTTGCCTTCTCTAAAAAAAAAAAGTTCCTCTCCTCCATCTGAAAAAACCAAATAAAAAGAAAAAATTTACCATTGTACCTACCAGTGAGCGCCACTTTGCATAGCCTTTCATTTAAAAAATGCATAGGATCCTCACCTCCATTTTAAAATATATTTTAAAAAATCCTCACCTTAAAATAAAATATTCCAAAAGCTTTCTCACTGTGGTCAACAAGCTTGCGCTATATGGCATAGCTAGTTGGCCGTCCTTCTCCCGACCCATAAGAGCATCTCCAACAGCCGCGCTAAACTAGCGCCGCGCCGCAAATTAGGCCGTTTTAGCGCGCGCGCAACGCGGCGGGTCGCTCCAGCGGGCGCGCAAAAACGGCGCGCGCGCTATAACGGGTTGGGCGCGCGGTCGAAAACACTTAGACGCGCGGTGTATTTCGGGCGCCCGCTGCAGCGCGCGGCACACTCCAGCGCTCGCGCCCGCACTTCCTCTCCCACTTCCACCCCCCGTCCGGCCGCGCCGCCGCCGCCGCCCGCGCCCCCCGGCGACCGTTCAGGCTTCCCCGGCCTATCCCCGCGCGCCCGCGCTTCCGCCCCATCCCCTCCTAGTCCCGCCGGCGCTCGCGCGCCTCCGTCGTCCGAGGAACGGCGCCCGAGCGCTCGCTGCCGCGCCTACAAGGTATGTATTGCTCAAACTTCATGAATTTGATGCATGTTTTGAATTGTAGCTTTTATTGTATAGTATTGAACATTATAGATGAGTTCGTTGTATGATTCTTCCAAAGAAGAATTTGATATGAAAGAGGAGGAGGATCTTGTAATGATCCTAGCTATGCATATAAAAAAACCGAAGCATGGTGGTTCGGTTATGGGTCGGCAGAAAATTTGGAGGGATAGGATCGATGCCCACAACAGATTGATCAGGCATTATTTTGCGGAGAATCCCATATACCCTGAGTCGTATTTTCGTCGCCGGTTTAGGATGAGCACCGAGTTGTTCAGGCGCATTGCAGAGAAACTAGCGAGCCATGACCGTTTTTTTCAGCAAAGGAGGAATGCCGCCGGATAGCTCGGGCATAGCACCTTTCAGAAGGTGACAGCCGCTTTGCGTATGTTGGCATACGGTATACCGGCTGATCTTGTTGATGATCACTTGGCTATGGGTGAGAGCCAAGCCATCATGTGTGTCAAGCGCTTTGCAGTGGGAATTGTGCAAGTGTTTGGCGAGGAGTATTTGAGATCTCCCAATGCTGAAAACGTCGCAAGGCTATTGGCGATGAACAAAGCTCGCGGTTTTCCTGGCATGCTTGGCTCAATAGATTGCATGCATTGGAGTTGGAAGAATTGTCCAAAGCATGGCATGGGCAATTCCACGGCCAAAAAAAGGGTTCCACTATAATCCTTGAAGCGGTGGCCGATCAGGAGACTTGGATTTGGCATGCATTCTTTGGAATGCCTGGATCTTTGAATGACATCAATGTTGTCAACCGGTCACCACTGATGAATAAGATTGCAAACGGTGAGTTGCCACCGGTGCAGTTTGTAGCAAATGGCCGTACGTACAACTATGGCTATTATCTAGCGGATGGAATCTATCCAAAGTGGCAAACCTTCGTGAAGCAGTTGAAAAAGCCGGAAGGTAAGAAAAATCTTGACTTCCACAATGCTCATGCGGCGGCTAGAAAAGATGTGGAGAGAGCATTTGGGATTTTGCAAGCCCAATTTACTATTGTGAGAGGACCGGCTAGATTTTGGGATCAAAAAATGCTTTGGTACATCATGCACGCTTGTGTGATCATGCACAACATGATCATCGAGAATGAGCGTGGTCAAGATTTAGACTACTCACAGTATAAGCTCTTGGGATATCCCGTGTGAGTGCGACGGAGGGCTCAAAGGGTAGCCCGTTTTATTGCCTCCTATCATGCCATTCGGCGTCCCGCAACGCACAATGAACTTCAGAATGATTTGATTGAAGAGTGGTGGGCATGGCATGAACGACAAAGAGCATGATGATATCTGCATTCGACGTTGTATTGTTCATGAACTATTTGTTGTGTTTATTGCATTTGTTGTACTGAATGATAAACTATTTGTTTGAATTGTAATGATAACAAAATTGAACTATTTATTGTTGATTTATTTTGTTTGTTTGATCATTTTTGCTCATAAAATACATGTATATGTGGTTTGTGCGGCGCACGCGCGCTGTATTTTTTCGCTCTGCTGGAGCGGCGCGCGCGCTGCATTATAGCGCGGCTGCTGGAGTCAGCGCAGGCGGGCGTGCTAAACCAGCCGAAGCGCGCGCGGCAAACAGGTTTTTTGCGCGCGGTGCTTAGCACGACTGTTGGAGATGCTCTAAGGGGGGTGTGCCCCAACACCAACTGGGCAAGCGCAAGTGGACACACCTTCTGAAGCTAAGATCGTATTTGATCATGGATTCATGGTACGTACAATAGCTTATCAATCATGTAGTCAGCATTGCAAATTATTTCTTATGTATTGAAAATTGTTCGTCATGATTAAT